GAACAGCAGTACCCACTGCTGAGCAATTGTGTTTCAAACCAGTAGAGGGCATTGGTACACATAGAGACTAAATAGGCTCATTACAGTCTCTTGAAACATCAGCTGTTATGTATATATAAATGAAACAATAGCACATTTCAAATACGGTATGCAGTATCAAAACTTCAAAGTTAAATCAACACAAAATAAAGCTAAAAAGATCGAGATTCTTCTGAGACTTTCCGATTACCTATTGTATTGCAGCACAAACGCTAATTAATTTTACCTAATAACCTTGAAAAGTAGTTGAAACAGTGTTATTTCTTTCACAAACTAAACGAAGGAGAGGTTAGATGAGTTGCTCTAGCTCCATATCCAAGTGCCAAAGAAGGAACTTCTAGCTGTAAGGCTCACTATTACGCTTCTAAATAGCACCGATTAGTACAAAAAACCTGAGAGGCTGAGAAAACTGCTTTCTGACTCTTCCTGTGAAAACCAGGCAGTGGTATTTCATTTAGTGATATGGCAGAAAGGTCGATTGCTAGAGCAGAGGAAATGTATCCAAGAGCCCAATCTAGCATATGGACCTTGTGTTCATCACGACGAAATTGATACTGATATGTTTGAATTACTGAAATTTGTCCTATGCTAGGTGAAGACCCTCAGATAGGGGTGATGTCTACATTGCAATGAACTATATGGCTGCAGGTTCCCTAAAATATATCTCATACTTAAAGTTACAAATGTAGTTGTAGCAACATGGGGCAGGCTGGCAAGCACAAGCAGCTGAGTGTGTGCTATGGCACTTAATGAGAAGTGTTGCCCTACCATTGCTGGGATTCAAGCAAGTTAGGTTAAGGTTGGTATGGGTACACACAAAATTAATTGGTCTATTTGTTATTTGCTGCTTGGATTAAAATAGTATCTAAGATATGTCACAGTCCTTCAGTGGCAATTTAAAAGTAGTTAGCTGAAACTTCTCTGTGTTCATTCCCCTCTTCCCTATCCATACCTGCAGTCTCACCACTCTTGAAGCAAAATTTTACCTGATTTTGAATTGGGTCCTAAACTGCTGAACTATTCAATGGTCATAATGAGAATTAATCCACACAATTTACACAACTGAAAGCTGTGGTGGTGTCACCATTTGAGCGGACATCCTCAGTTGAGTAGAAGGTAACATCTGTTATGAAGGCTGACCCTTTGAAAGCTGGCCTGACAGTTTCAGCCTTCTAATGCAGCACCTGACAGTGTCTGTCAATGCCCTGAACAGTCTAAGCAGGATCAAAACCTGAAGAGTTTATGCTTGCAGTAGACAAGGGCGATGAAAACTCTTTCTACCTGTGAGGTACTAAAGCTGTACTAAAATATCTTGGTCATTCCTCACAGGAAGCCTGTGGTAACGATGACAGCTGAGTGCAGACCTCCCAAGTTTCAACCAGGAACCTTGAACAAAAGGTCTTACTTCTTCCTTGAATATTAACTGTGTACTAATACTTTAGAGGTGCCTGTTTTGAAACAGCAGACAAAGCAACTTGCTCATGTGCTGATGATGCTTACAACCACAGACAGTTGTTTTCTGTATGTATGGACAGAAGTTTCATCAAATGCAAACCTCAGAGGAACAACTACATGATGCTATGACAATCCTCCCTGTAAAAGCTCAGGGCTTGATCCTACATTACGCAGTTATGTAGTGATCTCAAACAAGCAAATTTAGAAGCATCTGAGCACACCTGCGTAGATCTTAGATCTTACCTGGAGGAAAAAACCCTCTGTAATCCTTTTAACTGTCTTTAAATGCTCATCTGATTATAATTATTTTAAAGGATTAATAAAAAGTATTTAAGTTAGCAACAAATGGGAAATTTAGGAAAAAAATAGAGGTTATTTTATTGTCTTTACATCTCTCTAAAAATCATATTCATTTTCCTTTCCAACACTATTTTACTGTATTAAAATATAATCAGGACAGAAAAATTTCTCATTGTGTTAGCAAAAATGAATACAAGGTAGATACTATACTAACACAATGACTGTAATCTGCTAATACAATACGGCCTCCCCATTATGTTTAAACAACAATTCAGTTCTTGATGATTTCGACATATTTCCAAAATACTGTCTCAAAAGGATAAAATGTAGCATATTTCCATGCGTAAAAAGTACCTCATGTCCTCATTTACTCCTAAACAAAAAGAAACAACAAATAATGCATAATTTATGTTGTAGTAGACTTCATTTCTGTAGTAGGAAACTGAGTATATTGTTTGGAAATAAGCATGCCCATGATTATTTAAGATTAGCTAAATAGCTTCAAGCACACTGCTGAATGTGGTGGTGGTACAGAATCTATCCTAAACAGTACCAGAAGTAAAAATTGCACCAGAAGCACAGCCTGGTTACCCAAATGAATACAGGAGATCCCCTTCTAAAGCAAACTCGCTTAAGACTACCTCAGGATATCATGACCTAGAAGTACCAGAGTGCTATACACTAATACTGTTACTCTACAGTAACATAGAAAGACCAAACCACCAAAGCTGCTCTTTTCAATTGGTGAGACAATATGCTTTGCTCTACAGGGATTCCCAAGTCAGGAGACTCATATTCCTATTGCTACCATACATCTGACAAGGCAAACTAACAGCTGGGCCTCCAAGTAGTGTCTGTAAATATCCAACACCAGATAGTACAGATAGGCAATAGAGATATAATCACCTAGAATATGAAAATTCAGAGATATCCTGAAATCCAAATTAAACTTGATTTTACATCTAATTGCAATAGGCTTTCCTTCTAAATTTCAAGTATTTCTTAATAATAGCATCACAAATACCTAACCTGCAACTACAATGTTGCACTAGTTTGATGTTCCATGGGAATCTCAGAGGTGTGACTCAACTCATTCACAAGAGTCATTGTTTGGCAGGCCTCCAGGACGAGTTCAAGTGAGAAAGGAAGTTAGATCAGTTGACCAAAAGGAAATAAATTAGACTATTGGAATACTTGCTGAATGGGGAACAGAAAATTGGCATGAGAAGAATTTGACACTGAATCAAGTTTTGGAACAAAACTTTAGATGGACCACTCAGTAGATAAAGAACTGGCTGGATGGCTGCAGGCAAAGGGTTCTGCCCAATGGCTCAATGTCCAGGTGGAAAATAGTAATGAGTGGTGTTCCCTCAGGATCAGTGTTGGGACTGGTCTTGTTTAACATCTTTGTCACTCACATGGACAGTGGGACTGAGTGCACCCTCAGCAAGTTTGCCGATGACACCAAGCTGTGTGGTTCGGTTGATACGCTGGAGGGAAGGAATGCCATCCAGAGGGACCTTGACACGCTTGTGAGGTGGGCTGATGCCAGCCTCATGAAGTTTAACCATGCCAAGTGCAAGGTCCTACACCTGGGTCAGAGCGATCCCAGACACAGCTACAGGCTGGGCAGAGAAGAGATTCAGAGCAGCGCTGCGGAGAAGGACTTGGGGGTGCTGGTCAATGAGAAAATAAACATGAGCCAGCTTCAGTGTGCGCTTGCAGCCCAGTAAGCCAGCCGTATCCTGGGCTGCATCAAAAGAAGCATGACCAGCAGGTCGAAGGAGGTGATCCTGCCCCTTTATTCTGCTCTCGAGAGACCTCACCTGGAGTATTGTGTGCAGTTCTGGTGTCCTCAACATAAAAAGGACATGGAGCTGTTGGAACAAGTCCAGAGGAGGCCACAAGAATGATCAGGGGACTAGAGCACCTACCATACGAAGATAGGCTGAGAAAGTTGGGGCTGTTCAGCCTGGAGAAGAGAAGGCTGCGTGGAGACCTCAGAGCAGCCTTCCAGTATCTGAAGGGGGCCTATAGGGATGCTGGGGAGGGACTCTTCATTAGGGACTGTAGTGATAGGACAAGGGGTAATGGGTTCAAACTGAAACAGGGGAACTTTAGATTGGATATAAGGAGGAAATTCTTTATTGTGAAGGTGGTGAGGCACTGGAATGGGTTGACCAGGGGGGTTGTGAAAGCTCCATCCGTGGCGGTGTCCAAGGCCAGGTTGGGCAGAGCCTTGGGTGATATGGTTTAGTGTGAGGTGTCCCTGCCCATGGCAGGGGTGTTGGAACTGGATGATCTTAAGGTCCTTTCCAACCCTAACTATCCTATGATTCTAACAACAGCAGGCCTTGCAAATTTGATGTAGGAGCATCAGTATTGGTCACAAGGGTGTGCTGCCTTCTCCTTTCTTCCCCAGATGAAAAGACTCCACAAATAATTTCAACAAAAAGCAGTGTAGCCAACAGCCTGTTTTGTAGCTTCAGCAATCACTGACCTTTTGATTCCACATGCTTCTGTGTTGCTTAAAGCCAGGGAGAAGCTCTTTCCTACCTTTTTTGTCACGGAAGAACCTGTGAGAAGTCAGAATTTGTTGCAGGAGAACCTGAGATTACCCTGAAATTCAGCTTTTTATATTACAAATGCAATGAATTTGTAATTGTAAAATGAAATGCAGGTGAACATCTGAGTACTTCATTTGTGTGTGCTACCAGCACTTGTGTGTGCCACAAATCGTCTTGTAGATACTAAATAAGAAGCACAACATTTGGATACACGTTCTGTCATGAAATTAAACTTGCCTTCTGAAAATGTATCCCTACCAAACATATACTTTTACGGGTAACAAAGATGTCACGAATCTTTCAATATTTGGAGCATTCTCAGATTTGCTCACATTTAGAAAATATGCAGCCTAATGGTCTAACATCTTGCTAGAATAAATGGCAATGAGCATCTAATATCAATACATTTATCAATTGCCACCTATCTGTATATCAAATGCAATGAATTATTAAATGTAAACAAAAATAGACCTCTTAAAAATCGATTTACCAGATGAGAGGAGACTGTAGTTAGCAAGCTGAGTGTGAAATTTACATGTAGCTCATGAAGAAGTGATTACTTATGGAATTAATTGATTTTAGAAATGAATCTGAGGACGTTATATTATGGCATTAAAAGGAAATGAATCTGAAGATCTATTTTATGTCCATGAGAAACATGCTTATTTTTCCCTTCCATGCATGGCCAACCCCAGAAGCTGTGGCTCACCAAGAAGTCCCTAGTCAAAGCTGTAATATTTCCCATTATCCATCTCTGTAGCACTTAAACTCTTGCCCCTTTCTTATTCCCCTCATGGCTGCACTGTTTGTCCACAGCTGGGTTGTGTCCTGATTTGGTGTCAGCAATTCCTTTGTCACAAGTCTTGCTACTGAGAGTCAGTTTTCCACCTGCTCAATCATCACTCAAAAATGCTTCTTCTCCCAAATTATTTCCACCACGAGACCTCCCACGTTTCAGACGTGTTTCAGTGCTCATTTATTGTCAGCCTTATCCCTTCATCATCTTCTTGCAGATTCTCTGTGCCTCCCTTCCTGCTGATGCTTATATGCAGGATCTTCTTGCTGAATTATATTCAGGCTGTTCCACAGTACTTGTTTTGTCTGCCTCATCTGTGAAAGCTGAAAGGAGAATGGGTCAGAGAACCCCAAATAAGCAAGTCCTTTACTACACACTCTGCATTACTGTTCACCTTTGAAGCACCTTAGCACAGTGCTATCTGGCTCAGAATTCCTGACGAGCTTCTAAGAGCTTTCCCACATTTTTGGAGAACTTTAAGGAAAATGAGAGCTCTTATGCTGGAGGACAACCCACAGCAAACAACCCCACAAGGTGTGGGACCAGTGTTTTTGAAGTTTTCTCTTTACCATATTAAGCCAAGACACTAGTGGGCACTTTGAGAGGATTTTTCCACCCGTGCAGAGTAAGGCTGCTGACCCTAGCCACTCCGTCCCTGCATAAACACTTAGGCACAGTACAAATCACAAGGTTTACTTTTGGAATAGACACCATACACCTTTATGGCAAGTTAAGACTGCAGTAAATCTGTCACCTGTCCTTCCAGAGCACTGCTTTTAATTCTGACAGAACCACCTCACTCACACACGTTGGGCCATCAGAACCTTCTGCAGCCCTCCTGGGTGCGAGGAAGTTGCTGTTTCCCCAGAGTGGCCTCACTGCGAGCAGTGGTGGGGTGTCTGTGCCCCCAAGGAAGCCGCCGGTGCCCCAAAGGGAGGCCCCCTCCACCTTCTCGGGAAAGCAGCAGCTCTTGCCCCCAGGGAATACCCCCCTTGTCCACGACGACCCCACCAAAGCCACGCTCCCATAGCCCGGCCGAGCCACCCCGTCAGCCACACAGCCGCCTTCCCTCCCTGGTTGCCATGGCGCCCTGAGAGGCCGGGCCCACGGCAGCAACGCGCCCGTTGATTGGCTGCGGGACAGAGTCCAACCGGCGGGTGTGGTGCTTGGCTGTGTCAAGATGGCTGCCAGGTAAACACGGCTGGGGAAGGTCCGTGTTGGTGCTGTTGGGTGGCGGGGGTCCAGAGGTGCCGTTTGTGCTTTCCTAACGCCGTTTACGGCGGTGTTTGGCTGTGTTTGCTGCTTTCGCCTCCTCGGCCCGCTGCCTTCCGCAGCGGACTCTGCTCTTCGTCCTTCCCTCGGGGCCGGCGGAGCGCACCCGCACCCGTACCCGGCCAGGCGAGGGGAGGCGGTGGTTGTGTCTGGGGAAGGGTGGGACGTGCGCTCAGCCGCCCGTGGAGAGAGGCAGGAGGCGTTTGCTGCTACAGCGCCCTTAAGTAGAAAGCAGCCGTAAGCAAGTGCGAGGTGATAAAACTGAAGAACAAGAAATCCCCCGTTTCTGTCTGAAATAGTAAGTAGAAGCTTTGTAGGTGCCTGTCTCAAATGTCTGATGTTACTTCTCTCAAGAGACTATATTTGTGATTATGTATTTTGCTGTTTCTTTATTCTACAGGCTGTTGATGTTTCTGTCTTGGAACGGGTAACCTGATGTAACATTGATGTCTTTGCAGTGACCTGAAGTGGCTTGGGCTTGTTTAAGCTGGGAGATGTGGAGTGGACTATTGCCTCCAGGATTGAATGAAAGCGATGTTGACTTAAGTTCTGATGATGGAGATGGTTCCTTCTCGAAGGAAGATGGGAAAGATGCTGGAGGAGTTCAGGTTCCTGAATTGCAAGAGAATGGACCTGAAAGTAATGCCACCAGGGAGCCCATTGTGATATCTGCAATACCTGAAGAAAATGAATCTCAGCCATGCCCTTCTGGAATTTCTTTACATACATGGAATGTGGGTATTGTTACAGGTCTCCAGTTATCCAGAGTATGAATGCACCACACTCAAAGATGAATGGCTAATTTTTAAATTCAGATAACTCTGTGGTGAATATTGAATATCCAAACTTGAAATGAAATAGAAAGTGATCAAAATGCAGTTGCCATAATATATCTTATTAGATTGTTTCAGGCAAGGTGAGCAGGAATTTACATAGGAAGTGACTGTAACTTCTTTTTTTTCCCTTCCCCTAGTGCAGTGGTGACTGGTGGCACAGCAGGAAGATGTTTGGATAACTGTAAAGACTTGTGTTTTGGGAGCATATGGGCTTAGAGCTTCTTTGTAGCTGCTTTCTACATCAGTAGAAAGGATTTGGAGCTCAGTATGTCAGCCACTGCACTGGTGATATGTATCTGAAGTACAGATGTGCCCCCCTGCTTTCTGTAGGGGTTAGTTGCAGGCATTCAGACTCACAGTTGATTATAATCCCTCGATTTTCCTGTTGCATGTAAAGACTGAAAAAGTGAGTGTAAACAAAGTGATCTGTGGTTTAGGGTTTTTGAGTCAGAATGAGAATTGGGAAAAACTACTTACTCTTCTCTATCCTCTGTGTAGGAGGAAATATGTACATGGAATTTCAATCCATGTAGATAGCTAGCTGTGCAAGGACTAGGCTGTCAGTAATGCTTGGAATCCAACTACCAGGTAGGCAATAACTACATGGAATAGCTCAAGAGCATGCAACCAGCGTAGCTGTATTCAGTGTCACGTCCCAGGAGAAAGCTGTCAAGTTAGAATAGTCCTGGGATGTAGAAAGAGGTGAGGAAAGAGCCAGTTCTTGTTTAATGCCATCAGAGCTGGATGTTCTCAATTGATAATGCAATGGTATGATACTATATACATCTATAGTGTGTGTATATATATATATATATATATATATATAAAAGGTATGTAATATATATACATAGGTGTAACAAGGTCCTGTGGATAAATAAGATATTAGGACAACATTTCTCAGCATATCATGTAATATTTTCTTTTTCTAAAAAAGGAAAATAAATTAAAAAATAATCATTTGCCTTTCTTAATCCTGTAGAAATTTCTGGAGCTCCAGAAGAAAAGCCATGAAATGAAAACCCAATCGAAACAGGAAAGCAAAGGCCGGAAAAGAAAGCGCCGCAGAAAAGGTGTTTTATATAATTGCAGAATTTATTTCCACACAGTGGAATTAGTAATAAATACTTTAGAAGTGGGATTCGCTGGCTTGAGGGGGATGTTGTTTTTGTTTGGGTGTTCTGTGGTTGGGTTTCTGATGTGTTTGGCTTTTTCACAGCGGAGGGGAAGGGAAGAGTTGTGGGGTTTGGGGTTTCTCTTGTATGTTTTTTTTTTTATTCTTATCAAGATTTGAATGCTTGAGTTCATGTTTTATAGTTATTACCCAGGATTTTGTTTTTCAGTTGTATAAATCACTTGTAGGACTAGGTTGTGAGTTGCTAATTAAAGTTCAAGTCATGTACTCGTCGCCTTCTTAACAAGAAGATAAAACTTGCTCAGTTAATACTGATTTATAATGGTTAAGTGTATTTCAGTAATTCTATAGAACATGCTTTGTGTATTCTGGTTAAAATGTCTTCACAGGTACTGTAGGACTTTCTTTGTATGAAAAGTCTTGCAGTAAGTGGTTTAAAACCACGTGATCATTGGGTAAAAATCCTCGTGTCAGTCTTTCAAATAAAACGTGACTAAGTAGAGTTCTGTAGTTCATTGGATACTGTAGTGTATTCCTGTGTAATGTTGGATTTTATTCTTTCTCTTCCTAGGAAAACAGAAACAGAGCGATGAAGCAACTAAGAGGTAAAACTGGTCAGTGTGATTATTTGAGGTCTCATTTTCATATTGGGCAAAGCTTGTAAAACAGCTTGTCCACATGCATGACCATAGCTTTGAACGTCGTGTGAAATGTCAGCTGCAGTTGTTCACTGTCTTTGTTGGGCAGGCTGAATGTGATAGCAGTGATTGCTTGATTTGAAAAATCTACACAAATGTGCTGAATGTAGCCTAAAATAGACTTAATGTTATTCCAAAATATGTTTTGCATGTAATAACATACAAGCTCCTCTTCAGCCTGTTCCATCTCCTCGGCAGGCATAGGCTTATGGTTGGACTCAATTATCTTAAAGGTCTTTTCCAGCCCAAATGATTCTTGAGTCTATAAGCTTGCTGTTAAGATTCTGGAATTAAGAAGGGAAGGAATAATTAATTTCACTTCTGTTAGAAACTGTGAATGGGTGAAAAGAGCATGTCTGCCAGGTGGAAGAGTTTCTTTTAGCATTTAAAAGAATATTACAAACTGTGGAAAGGGAACTGATAATATTAATGACTTCTTGTGTCTTTGTTTTTAGTAGCCAACAGCTGGCAAATGAAGGGAAATGGAAAGAACTTACACAATACTTTGGAATCAATGATAGATTTGAATCACCTGTGGATAGCAGGGCTCCCCAAAAGGTGACTGTTATACAAAATCAATGTCAGCTTGTACTTCACAGTTAAAGAAGTCGGCCTTAATAGAGTTAGGAGGAAAACTGAGACTCTTTAAAAGTGAGTAAATGATAAAGTTACGCTGAGGAAGGATAATTTTGTGCACATTTTGAAGTTAATTTCCTTTTAGATATTACATGAATTGTACTTGAATAGAGTAGCTGCTGTGCTTCCTGTCTGGTTCTGTTGTCTGTTATCATGAGACACAAAACACTTCACATGCATTGTTTGAATTTTTGTTTTCTTTGGTTTTAATCATATTTTAACTTCAAAATCTGTCACCTAAATCCTTTAGTTGACAACATGGGCTATAGGAATTAGAGAGCCAAACCTACTGTACAATTTTAGTAGATTTATAACCCATTATGTTCATGAATGCTATTGTGTAACCAGTCATAATTTGAAATAACTGGTACAACACAATGAGCAAATTGAGAAATGCATCACATTGTGAGTTCATTGTAGCTCTGTTCTGTACTTCTAGTAAAGGCCTGTGTAAGTTCTATGACATGAAATGTTCAGTGAGTCTCCTGCATGATTATTCTGTTTTTCATTTGCCTCAAGTAAGTTTCTGCATGCAAGTCAGGAGACATTGTTTGCTTCTGCCTGAGTTCTTGCTCTTAGTGGGTATTTAGTTGTCCTTAAACTGCTTAGGATAGACCTAGAATGAGGCCCAAACTGTTAAAAAGCAGATGTTCTTCATGAAAGTCCAGAGATTTAATCACTAGTGGAATGTATGTGTCATTAATTTCAGGAAAGATACCTAACAGAATTGGCTGTCACTGCAAGTTGGGCTGTCACTCCAGTTGGGCACTTTACCACCTGAGTAATTCAAGTGCAGTGTTTGCAGATCACTTTTTCTTAAGAACTGATTGCTTTTTTGCTTTCATCTTTTAAAAACAGTGTATGTACCAAAACTGTCAAAAATGTTTTCTTCAGCATCACTAAGATTTAAAACCAGTGAGGCTGTAAAGTCTCTTATGAGAGAGAGTTTTCTGTGATGGTCAGAAGCTGGTGCCTCCTTCTATGCTACCCTTCTGTACGCAGAAGTTTCCAACTATAATTTCCAGTAAATACTTACTTTTTATTGTTACATTACTTGTAAATGTTGTTGTAAAACAAGTTCTATTGATCACAAAGATCATTTTGTCATTTTCAGAGGTTAAATTCTGAAGCTTTTTCATTGTTTTCTATAGGACTGCTAGAATTCTTAATTTATTAGCACAGCAGAGTGGCACCGTGCCAGAACTCAGTTTTTGGATCAAGATAAGATCTGAGAACTGTAACGATACAGTGGTAATTGCCATTCTTCGTGTTACCTGACACATATATTTCACATTATGTTTAGAAAGCTCCAGGGATGGAAGAGATAAGCCAGATCTTCAGATGAAATTTTATTGTGACAGGCATAAACTAGTCCGTGTAATTTTTTTAACCTACAGTATTATCCTGCACATAAGGTGGAACTAATGCAATGATTTGTGCTCAGGCGGCCTTTCAGTGAATTCTTAATTATACTGTCCTTTACAATACATAGACAAAGTGATTTGTGTTACATAGAAATTACAGGTTTATGCAGTGTCTTAAAGAATCTTAGAAAAGAAAGATGCCCCCTTTAAATGTGTTATTTCTTTTTGTCCTAAAAAGATTTACTTTTCTTTTTCTAGTCTGGCCTTGAACTTAGCATAGAGAAGTCTGTGGCTGAAGGTGACATTGATAAGGCTGAGGAGCTGAGTGATAGATTAGCTGCTCGTGAGGTAAGTGGGCGATTAACAAAAGCTCTGAGAAAACATTTAGTTTTTGCAGAAAATGTCATAACTAAAATAGCACTGAAGATGGTTTGGGGCATCTTTCCTGTTTCTTAAGCAGATTTCTGTCAGTGATTGAAGGATTTGCTGCTGATCTAGTAATGCTTGGATACCCTGTAGTTATGAATTAGAACTGAAAATACAACCATGAACAATCCCAAGTAACCTTGCTTTAAAGCCTTCATGCTGACTCTGAGTCAGAGGAGTCAGTCACTAGTCATCTATATTGAACTTTAGATTTTTCTGCATGTTGCAAGCCAAGAAAACAGCAGTAAGATGTTCTTGTCCTGTCTGTTCATTGTGCCTTAGTTTTCAACTCGCATTCCCTCTTCAATAAGCTTCGGAAGCCTGAAGAAAGGTAGAGATGTAGCTTAGAGCAAGATGTGCCCAAATAAGGATGAATACACCCAAACTTGTACACCAGTGCTTTTTTCCATTATGTTCAAGAGCTTCAGTTGATGTCTGGAATAATGCTGAAGAATGGGAATAGGTGGATGTCAAACATTGCTGTAGCCTTAGAACAATGCTTATCGAATGAATGGATATTTTTTTCTCCTTGTCACCATTTTTAGTAATGTAAATGCCTCTCTAAAAAAAGAAGTGAGAAACTCTTATTTTTTCACAATGTTGTCTTGTTGGTTGGTGTGTCTGAGTAGTTCTGTGGAGGCTTTGCTGCTCGTTGCTGTTCTATTTGTGCACAGGGGAGAAAATGCAAAGGAAGAAAATTAGGATAAAAAGATGTTTGCAATTGTTTTGAAGCCAGCTGAGAAAATAATAAGTAAGAGCTATTTGAGAGGAGTGGAGTAAGTCATCTGATTGATATAAATCATAAATATTCTAGATTGATATTAGAAATTAATTATGTAATACTTGCTTTCATTCCTCTGTCTTGCATGTTCTTTCACACAGAGGTAATGGAAGTGTTCTGTCCACTAAATATACACTAGCAAAATTCAGAGTTATTGGAAAAGGATTAAGAAGGGAAAGACAAATTCTGAACACTTTCATTCTCACACGAATACTTAAAATATTTCCTAATTACAGGGTTTTAAGCTAAGCTTTAATGTAAGATTGCAGATTTAAATCTTTTTAATACAATATAATCCAATATTGTGATGGCTTTAAAAACAGATGTATTATGAAATGAGAAATACAGTTCTTTAGGTTCCTTAACTAAGGTTAGCTAAAACTGTTCCTTGGTAGTGTTCTTTCACAATCATTAAACTCCTGTATTTAGTCACTCCAGGCAGTTTCCAGTGACTAGACTCTTATCTGCCTTTCACCAATGATCACAAAACTTCAATCCTCAAAGATAACAGCTATTGACAGTGATAGGAATGTGTCCTAATTTTCCCTTTAATTTGGACCAGCTTCTCACTGTGAGCTATATTACTTTTCATGCATACGACATGAAAAACACTTGCAGTTCCCCTTCACAAATGTCATTATCCCATCTAAAGTGGTTAGAGTATCATAATCAATAAAACATACTGAGGTTCTAGTGCAAATTGTTTGACTATAAAAACAAATTAATGTAAAAAGTTTTAAGGTTTTGTAATATTTATGATAAACTGTTAATCTGTTTTTTGTAGCCATGGGATTGTACAACATCTAGCATATCCCAGGTGCTACTGCAATGTATTATTATTTGTGGAACATTAGCTCCAAATTGTTGACTTTCAAATATTAGCATGTTGTAATTCTGAAAACAAAATGCTTGAAACATTATTAGCATTCACAGCCTTGACTTGGTTTTGGTTAAGTGGGTTTATCTGAATAAATAGTATGTTGAAAGAAGGAAAACTCAAATGACTGTGGCTTGATCTCATGAGGAGCTCTGTTGAGGCAGAATCCTTGTGGATTCACTGGGGTTCTTTACTGTTGTAAAGACGTGCAGCATTACCCACTGCAAGATTCATTTTCCTTTGTGGTTTTTGCGAAGCTGTATTTTCTTTTAATTGACCCTTTAAAATACTTTTTGTTCTAAGGACCTCATTCTGACAGTGTCTAGTTCTGGTTCAGTGCAGTGCTATAGAAAAGGATTTCATTATGGGAGATGTTAGTTCAAAAATCACTGTATTTGTATAGGAGTACAATTAATGAAATACTCCTTTCATATTGAGGAGGAAAGTAGGGATTATATCAATACTGTGCAAGTTAAATGTCCCTTTTAAAACTCATTTTATGCCATACTTCTAAGAAGTGAGTTTATTTTTAAAGTATGTGGCTATTTGTATGCCTCTAACTTCCAAATGCAACACAACGCTGAGAGCGGGTCAGGCGTGGAGCCACACTATGACTATTGAAGTACACCACTTCTGAAGCCTAGAGAAATAAGTGGACGAATTATTGTTCCTTTATCTCACCATCATCTTTTTATGTATAGTTTTCATTTTTCTTGAGCAGTGTTGCAGGGTTCGGGGGCAGGGAGTGTGTGAGAAGGAGCTGCCTTCTGTTTGGGGTGCAGCCCCCCTCGCAGCCATGTGGAGAATGTTCAGTGGGTAGGTGTTCTTTTTGAAATCAGGTGTATGGGGTTTTAATCGGCACCATTTTCTTTTGCAAGAAGCAGTGACTGGAACCTGCTGATAAAGCTCTTGCTTTGAGGCACAGATCCCAGAGTTCTTAAAGCCGTTTCCTGCCTTAATAAGTGAAACTAATTTTTGATGTATAACATTTATAAGCCTGTGAAACTGATAGGGCAGCTTCAGTATTTAGAAAAAAAAAAGAAGCCAAAAAAATAAACAGATGATGAGAATAGGCAGTAAAAACATGTCCTAAAAAGCAAAGGAATGCCAAAATGATGCTGTCAATGTGCTATCACTATGACACAGTGAGAAAAGGTTTTTAGAAATCAGATTCCTTGAAAATCAGTGATGATTTAGGCAATATGCATAATCACCATCTGTGAGTGGATGACTGAAATTTACATCCTAAAAACCTAAATGATACTGCCTCAGGGCTTGGGGTATTTTGGTTTCCGTGTGGTACTTGTTGCAGGTTCTTTAAGGAAAATGTTGTTGTACTGCTGGAAATGAGGCTTTGGGCAATGTATTATTTGTTGCTTGCTTCTGGTTTGGTGAATGTTCACAAGTTTAGATCAATACTTAATCTAGTAGTGTTCAAGTTTTTTAGACTGAGAGAAATTAGAACTTGGATACATTATGCATGAGGGTCTTTATTTACTAGTGACTGCATGTGTGGTTTCATATGTAGCTTTTGAGACTAGCTAAAAATGTGTTGCCCCTCTTTTATTGGCAGTTTAATTTTTGTTAAAATTAATTGTTCTTATGTGATGATGAAGAGTCTGATCTCTTGGCAGATCTCCCTATGAAGTATTGCCTCTCCTTGTCTCCTGTTGCCATCCTGGTTTCTGGTCTAGAAGAGTGATTGCAGTTGTTTGGGAGCTACCAGGGTAGCAGATGTCTAACCATAGCATCCTTGGATATCCCCCTAGCCTGTTCTCTTGTGGGGTGTTCTGTTGCACTCGGAGTTCTAGTGATCCTGAAATTCTTGGTTGCATTATTTTTTATATGGGAGAAATTCTTCCTGAAAGAATAGGGGCAGGTCTACATTATATTGTCTAGAGTAATTTAGGCCCTCAGTAGGTCTGCTTCTGTACCCAGACTGCTTCTAGAACTCATTCTGGCTTGAGCATCTGGGTGCTGTGATGCAGTTACAGTGTATGAGGCCACCAGCACTGCTTTGAATTTGTGTGGAGCATCCACATAATGCAGGTGGGTTACACTGCTTAATCTGAATTCACTGTGGGTTTTTAAATGCACTTAGACTGCATTATTTCATTAATACCTACAACATAGTACTGGTAGTATTAAATAACTAACAGTTAATTGCAATGTGCATGGTATTATATGAACAGTTAGGGTTTATTATTGTAACTGAGTTGTTGTCTTTGTTATAACATTCCAGGGCTTTCAGCAAGGCAGTCTCCTTCATTTAAAGTTCTGCTGTTCAAGTGTAGAATGGCATACATCAAGCTAGTGTTTGAACACTGTATTTCATTTAATGATGACTTGTTTAGCCTGAGAGATGCCAGTAGAAGTGTTGATATTAATGTAGGAGTTACAACGAGCGTTGTTAAGAGAACGAAGTTTATGTGGACACTTAGCTGGGCTGAGATAAAATGGTTAATTTGGTCATGATTTAGGGTGAGGTAGTTGATATTTAATGGCAGCAGGTACTTGGATATGTACCTGGGAACAGACACTTGGAATTATATCAACTTTTCTAATGCTTTTGAAAAACCTTTTTTGGAATAACATCTTGAAATGGACTTTAATTTTTCCTGCTGTGCTTGTGGGAATCTGCCTAGACTTTTGGTGATAAAATTAGAGCAATGTGTGCATAGTGGCAGTGTTTATCCTTTTGAGTAAGGGCTGTATGAGGAGATAGTTGGTAATTTCACTTTGCCATAACTCGGTTTCCAGTTGGAGTGATATTTCTGAAAGTTCTTTTCCTAATAAAACAATATTATTTTAAAGATCTGCCTCCCAAGTGTATAAACCTACAAAATATTTTCCAAGCTTTTCTTCCCCCTAGAGAAATAATTTTTCATAGTGCTTTTGTACTCTAATCGCTTTGTGGTGTCTCAAGCAGCAGAATGCAGATTTCTTATGTCTCTAATATTCTGAGAACTAATCTGGCTAAACCTCAAACTTTGCACTTGCTTGTGGGTTGTGTGAACTGCCTGGTAGGTAGGTGCCACATTGTCTAAGAGCACATTAGCCCGAGGACTGTAACTTGAACGTGATAAAATAATCTTGACCATATTAGATTTGCTGTCAAAAAGAACTTCTGAAATATTTTGTAATTTAGTGTGCTAAATTACTGGAGTAGTTGTCAGGCTCTAAATAGCGCACACTTCTTGACAGCACTGTTCTAAGTGCTTAGCTTCATGGCTTCTGGCATTTTGGTGAAAGACTTCTTAAAAA